AGGAGAACTAATTAAGAAGCTCATTTGCATACTCCAGCGTTTCCGGTGCACGTATGGGGTTCCCATAGCAACCAGTACAAAAGCTGGTGATGGTGTGTGGGTTTTGGTGGGTTTTAAGTGCTGTTCCTTCCCTTTGTCATCCCCTGCAGATCACAAAGGCTCCGCGAGGAAGGTGCAGTGACACCGGGCTGGAGAGGGGGATTTCTGCACAGCAAGGTAGGGACACAGCGTGCTGTGAGCACAGTGGTGGGCTGAGCCCACTCCCAGTGCCATCCAGCTCACACACCTGGGGAGCACGGATTTTGGGGTGGATGCACAGCCTGAGGACACAGTTGAACAGAAATCCCTGACCCAAGCCTCTGTCAAAGAGGCTTTCATGAGTCACTTTGGCCTCAGCTCCATGAGGAGCCAACAGTTCCAGAGTTTTGCAGGGGACTGCACCAAATTCCACAGCATCCCAGTGCCCTGGGGAGGGGCTGGCTGCAGGCACCCCAGGATAATGCTTGCAGCACCCAGGACATGTCGAGCACTGTGGGACCGAGACCCTAAACACTGCACCCCAGTGTGAGAAGAAGGAAGGCAGGAATACGCTGGTGAGGTGTCAGCCCCAGTCGCAGCAGGTTCCCGCAGTCCAGCACCAGCCCCCTTCATCATGTCACTTCTCCCAAGCACCAAGATTTCTTTTCTGCCTTGCATTTCTGGCAAGAAACCTTTGCATTTAGATAAGGAATAAAGCCCAGGATCAGATGTGAACTCTGCGGCAGAGATCAACATTTTAATGAATTAAATATATTCTAAACTAAATGTAACCTCTTAGCGCTCACATTTTTGAGTGAGACTAACTTAAAGAAAAAGCCAACAATCCAACTCATTTCAGCTCTCTGGCTGTGAACTGGCCACAGGCCAATCAATTATCTTGAATTTATTCGTTATTCAACTTCCCTCCGACAGCCAATTTCCAGGCTGTGAATGGCAGGTGAGCAGTTCCTCCTGCCGCGGCCCTGCTCCCATTCCAGACCAGTTTGCAGGCAGTGGTTTCACTGGGCTGCCCGGGAGCAGCGCTTGGCCCAGGGCCAGGAGCAGAGCAGGATGCTCTGGCTGGCACATTCCGCGTCAGACGGTGCCAGGGGATTGGAGGGACAGGGGCTGTTTGACATCCAGCAGCAGCATTTACAGATGCAAATAGAGCCTGAGCTGCAAGGAGCATCCCCCGAGGGCTGCGCAGCCCTGTCAGGCCTGGGAAGAGACATTTAATTCCTCCCTGTTAATTTGTTGCTGTGCAGGGAGGGCAGAGCAGCTCAGCCCTGCTTCAGCAAAGCGTGTCTGGTCACAGAGACCAGATGCTGCAGCTGAACACGGAGCCCTGCGATGTTTGGGGGGCTGGGCAGGGTGGGAGGCACATGGAACAGACCCTGACTGTGCTGCCCCAGGCTCAGCCCACCCTGGGCTGCCCCCACACCAGAGCCTGGGGGTTGGGGGCAGAGGGAGTGGGGCTGCCCCCTCCCAGGGCACTGGGAAGAGAAGGATGGGTAGGACCACAAGCAAGGCAGCAGAGTTGGTCCTTCATGCAGCCCCCATCCCAGTTACACTGCAGTTAGAACAGGAGCCAGCACAGCCAGGGCTGAAGCTCTCACCCCTCCACTTGAAACATCTCACCTCACTATTTCCCATGCTAACACAGGAGCCCTTCCCTGTCCCCAGCCTACCCAGCATCCTGGAATGATCTCCAAAGCCTTCAAGCTGGAAGAAGTCCCCTTGCCCATCCAAAGCCTTCTCCTCCCCTAACATTGTTTTCATTTCCCCCTCCCCCCCTTTTTTATTCTCAATAAAAACATAATTACAGGCTTTTAAAAAAAGCAAATTATAGTGACATACTTTAATTATCTCCAAGCAATGGAGGACTAAATTACACAGTCAGGGAATCGGAGGTTACCTAAAAATAAAAGCAAAAAGCTTCATTAAATGCTAATTGCAGCTTTCACCGCTGAAGTGAGATTTCAGCACAGGCCACCATTGACTCACTGGGCCCTACAAGAGAACACTGGTGCTGTGGAGACACCCCTGGGTACACCCCACATGCCTCCATCCATGGCTCCAGCCACTGGGATTGCTCCAACAAGGAGAAACCGGGCTCCATTCTGCCTCTGGTCCTTCCCACAGGACTGGGTGTGCCCCTCAGAGGCATCACCATCCTCCCAGCAGCACTGATGTGCCCATCACAGCTCCTCCAGTGCTCTGTAGCACAGACACGAGCTCCACAGAGTCCCCCACCCTGCGTGGACCCACAGGACCTGCTCAGCTCTGCTGCCCTTCCTCTCTGAACACAAGGCAGAACCTTCAGGCTCTCCCTGTGGGAGGGGAGCTGGATGGAGTTCTGTCCCAGAGCAAGGGGCAAGCCACGCTCTGCTCCAGCCCTGCTCTCTCCATCCCCTTCCTCCAGCTCTGCTCCCTCAGCAGCTTTGCCACGGCTGCAACAGGAGACCTTCGGGCCCGAGGAGCAGGAGGGTGATTTTCCCCAAGACATGGGAAGCGAGGCACGAGGTGGCTGGCAGACTGCAAAATTCACAGAGAAATTATCTTGTTTTTCCATTTCCTATCGAGTTGGCCTAATTATGCCACTGAAGTCTGTAATTTGCCTCTCACAGAAGAGAGTTAATGACTGGTTCCAGGCTGCTGTCGCTCCGCACGGGGCCGGGGCCACGAGCCCACACAGAGCTCCCACTCCAGCCCCCAGCCGTGCCCTGGCACCCCAAAAGCTCCCACTTGTGCCTGGAGAAGGGAGCTCAGGAGAAGGGCTGAGGATTGGGAACAGCAGCCAAGGACAATAGAAAGTTCCAGGCAAGGGGAGATACGAGCAGGCAACAGAAGGAGCTGGGACCAGCCCAGGTTTTTCTCCCCACTTCTCAAACTCCCAGAAAAAGTGGAAAATGCACAGGTCAACCACTCAGGGAACTCAGGCAATTATTGCTGTTTAAATTCAATAGCCCTTCACAGAAACACAGGGAAAATCAGACAAGTGCTTTTCATCTGTAAGGGAGGCGAGGAAGAGAAATCACAGCACGACAGGCACCTCATTTAAAAAAATATATACACACAAAGTACCAAAACTAGGAATCTGATATCTAGGAATCGGAATCTACTCTGCTCTTCTGCTCAGCCACAGGCAGAACTACCCTCAAAAATACTAAGCAAAGCAGAAACTGGATCCTGGATCCACCAGCTCCCCAGGCATCCACTCCAGGGCCTGGCTAGATCCCCATCCATCTCAATGGCTTATAGACAGCTCCCTCTTAATTAGCTTTCATAATCAAATAAGCATTTAGAATTAAACAGCGCTGTATAAAATTAACCAGCTGTGTTGGGGGGTCATTGCAGCCACTGGAATGTGCCCAGCACTGGGAGGGACACAGGTCCTCCAGCAGCACAGGGACAGTGACAGCCAGGGCAGGTTTGGGCTGGTAAAAACAGGGCCATCTCTGGAAGGCTCAGAGCATCCCTCCTCCCAGGCACAGCCAGGGAAGGGAGGGGGATGCTGTAATTGAGGTAGGATCAGCCTTTCCAGTCATTATCAGGCAAAGCTCAGGGTGAAAGCTGCTTGTAAAGCCAGTAGAGCAGTATCTCTGAGCTAGAAACAGCACCACAGACATCAGCTTGGGTTTTCTGGGAGCCCTCTGAACCAGGCAGCGCCTCACATCTGATCTGACAGTGATGGATGCGCTGGGAACGGAGCAGTTTTTTCTCCTGAGAAGCTCTTTTGACAAGTATGATCTTATCAAAGTTGCAAGCTTTTCATTATGCTTCTTTTTTTCTTTTTTTAACTCCTGCCTTCAAGCCACGCTCTGTCCCCTGTGCACGGGCAGGGAACGGGCACCTTTCTGGTCCCTCTGGCACCAATCACTGGCTGCAGCTCCTGGGGGGCTCAGGGCACCCAGGGCCCCCCTCCCTGGGCAACCCACCAAGGCAAGAGCAGAGCTGTGATAATACACAAAGGGGCAGGGGAACACACGCCCAGGGATGGATGGGGAGCCATCCCAGCACCCTCTCCAAGGCCAAGTCACCACCAGCTCCTGTGCTTTTACTGGGCACCTGAAACCACAGCTCGTGCAAAAGCTGGAGGCACCCACCCCACCAGGGTGGGCAGCAGCACCTTTCCCCAGCAGCCTCCTTTCCCCACCTCCACGGACACAGAACAAGCTTGGACCCTCCTCTCCCCAGCCAGCAGCAAACAAGCACAGCCACCCCCTTTCCACCAGGGAATCCCCATCCAGAGCCAGAAACAGCAGCAGCCAACACTCCAAACCACCCCAAAACAGGTACAGCCAAGACTCAGAACTGCCACCTACCTCACACACAGAGCTGTGCTGTCCCACGGAGGAGCTGCAGGCAGACAGGAAAATCCCCCCCAAGGGGGGGGGGCAGAGCTGCTTTTATTAGTGGGCAACACCCTAATTAGCCCAGGTTGCTCCTGATGAGGAGAGTGGAGTTGGCCCTGCCTCTGCATCACAGGATCCTTCAGGCTGGAAGAGCCCTCTAAGATCATTAACCCAGCACTGCCAAGGCCACCATGTCCCCAAGTGCCACATCTGCACAACTCTTAAACAAATCCATCTGGGGTGGGGACTCCACCATTCCCTGAGCAGCCTGAATGGAGAATCTCTGGAAAATCCCTTCGTCTCTGGTCCATCTCCCCCCCTCAGCCCACACCTGGGGGAAGGGGAAATGAGGAGGAATCAGCCCTTTTCACCCTGGGTCTGCTCCAGCCCTGAGCACTGGTGAGGCACAGGCTGCAGTGTGTGCCCCAGTGCCCCGTGCCAGGGACATGCTGAGCTCCCCTCTCCCTGCCCCATCCCCTCCCAGAAGGACCCCTTGGCAGCAGGAATGCCTGGAGAGGAAGGACACCGAGCCCCCTGCTCTCCCAGAGCACTTGGCCACCCAAAACCTTCCCTGTCAGCCCAAACCAAGTCACCTCCTGAAACCAAGTCACCAAGAGACAGCAAACACCGAGTGCAAAACCAGGGTCTTTTATTAGAAATCTCCTTGTATAAAAATGATCATGCTCTACACAGTCATCGAATAATTCATAAACATCCAGGCACTGAACTTTGTTTTTTTTGTGTTTTTGTTTTTTGACTGGTCAGTACATAAAGCAGACGTATTTCAATCCATATGGTCATCACATACATTAAGGAACCACCTATAAAAATCAGCACTTTGAACACAGTCTAGGTTTTATTTTATTTTGTTGTCTGTTTTTTATGTAAATTTTATGTATTTTTATTTATTTTTCCTTTTTGCAACATATAGAATTTGGTAGGATATGGGGGAGAGAGTGAAGAGGGATGGAGGAAGACAGGAACAAAATAAAATGGAGGATTAAAAAAAAAAAAAGAAAGAGAAAACAGAAGGTTCTGCACAACCACAAACAATCTCACAAATTCCGGAAAAGGGAAAATGTTGGGTCTCTTTTTTTTTTTTTTTTTTTTGCCAAAATACAGAAAAAAAACCCAAAGACTTGCCGAAGTTCCTCACCTCCTCCCTGCTCTCCGTCCCCCGCTCCGCTGTCCCGCTCCCTCCGGGAGCCATGCACCAACACCGTGGGCGTGGAATGGTTTTATTGGTTCTTTATGGATTTTTTGCTGCTGTTGATGGCCGTTTTCCCGGGAGCTCTGCCCCAGTGGCCCCGCAGGAGCGTTTCCCCAGGCTGCCACCTCCCCTCCAGGGTCCTGCCGGGAGCGGCTCCGCTCCCTCCCGGCCGTGGCTCCCGCAGTCCCTGCAGCTAAATCGCGTGGTTGCTGTAGCTGACATAGGTCTGTTTGGTGGCCAGTGCTGGAAGGAGAGACAGAGCTCACATGGATCATTCACCCAGTCCACCCTCCCCTTCTGGCTCCCGTCCCACCCCCGACCCGTCTGTCGCGTCAGGAGATGCTGGCAGGGCTGTGAACAGGGTTTGCTCATGGATCCAGCCAGCACCAGCACATGGGATCCTTCCCTGGGAGGGCACGGAGCCGTGGCAGAGGGGCTGAGCCCAGGGCAGCCTCTGGGTGCTCTCTAAAGACAGTTCATCCCAAAGAGTGACCCAGGATGTGACACAAGCCATGGGAATGTGCTCTCGGGCTCCCCTTCACTTCCCTCAGCAACCTCCTACAGACAGACCACGGGTGCTCCATGTTCCCAAAGCTCATCTTGTCACAGCCCTGCAAGGCACAATGTGGGGTCCTGCCCTCAGTGGGCACGATGCTCTGTGGAGATGCCCCCATGAGGTCCCGAGGCACCACAGGGCTCAGTGGGCACACGGACACCCTCCAGCCAAGGACACGGACAGTGCTGGCACAGATGGCAAAGCCCAGGACACCCTGAGCAGCACAAACGTGTCCCCTGTGGAGCCCTCCCATGGCACTGCCCAGAGGGGACACCTGGCAGCTCGTGGTGCCTCGCTGACAATCGAACCTTGCTGCAGGTTTCCAACTGGTGGTCCCAGATAACAATTAGATAGAGCAGAAGAAATTGGAGCTGACAGAGCTATTTGTTAGCTGCGGTGTTTTCGTAGCCGATCTGCCCGTATCAAAGCCCTGTGAATTATTTATTCTGTTGTTTATTTAAGGATACGTGACCCGCCAGTGACAGAGTGAAAAATGTCCCCTCGGTGCTGCAACGACATCCCCCCCGTGCCTCCTGCCCCCAGTGCTGCTGCCGTGCCTGCTCCCTGCCTGGCACAGCCAGGAGCTCACTGCCAGCCCTGCTCACGCCGAGCTCCCACACCCCGTGAGAGACACGTCACGGCCGGAGCCGCAGCAGACTCTGCTCTCCCTCTCCCAGCTCCTGCCATCCTCAGAGGATCCTGCTGCGAGTCCCCCCGGGAGCCGCCTTACCTTGTGTTTCCAGGTTTTCGCAGAGCTCCGATTTGGCCTCTCCGTTGGGGCGGAAACCTCCCTTCTGAGAGAACTTGTTGGACATGGTGGCCGCCGTCACCACCGCCTTGAGGCTCCGCTTGCGCTTGGGGACGTTCTGCTCCGGGTGGAAGAGGATGATGTACACCTTGGGCATGTAGAGCATGCCCAGGGACACCGAGGCACTCAGACTCACCGAGATGGTGAGCGTCGTGGTCTGGATGTACATCTGCAAGACACAAGGGCACGAGCTGAGACCCCCCCCAGCTCTGTGGGATCCAGAAGGGTCAGCTGGGAAAGGAGGAAACAGGGGACCATGGAAAAGTTGGAGTTAAATAAACTGAGTGGGGAGGCAGTGCTGGAAATATTGGCACTCCTGGATCTTTAACATTAGGCTTGATGCTCCACCAGCTGCAGGGCAGGAGCTCCGACGCTGATGGTGGGCACAGCAAGGACACCCACTCCCGGGGCACCCTCGTGCCCCATCTCCCTTCAACAGGTAATTCCCATTCCCCAGCTGGCTCCTGGGCCCTTGTCATGTAAGTCACATATTACACACCGACACTGCCTTTTTGCAGTCAAAACTAATTTCACGCTCACTGTCCAGGACTAACAGTGACAGATGTTTTGCAAAATGAAAGCCCATTAATCTGACTGTAGAATAATCCATTTTTCTATGGAGAGCGTTTGGCAGGCTCCTCACAAGCTGGGGGCATCTGAAGCAGGTGGCAACCTGGAGGAGGAAGAGACCCCCTCCCTCTGCCCATCCCATCTCCCGGGGTGGCCAGGAGTGCAAGTCCCTGCTCCACAGGCATCCCTGCAGACATCCCTGCTCCATCAGCATCCGGCACAGGGCTCCGTCCTCTCCAGCATCCTCTCCTCCACACAGCTCATGTGCTGGGCCAGTGAGGCTGAGCAGGGAGGGGGCTCTGGGTCTCCAGGTGCCTTTGCACACCCCTGGTTTGCAGAGTGCTGACAAGGGTTTAGGAGCTTTAAAGCAGTTCCTGACCTTCGCCCCTGACTCTGGCACAGCACAGCGTCCAGGGATTGTCCTGCAGGTGTTTCCCACGTGGGATTTAATGCCATGTGAGGAGGCACAACCTGGAGGAGCCAGGGAAGCCCAGGGACTGCAGCAGCAGCCAGGGCAGGGGGTCCCCATCTCTCCAGGGCCACACACTTGCCCTGGGGGCTCAGTTTCTGGAGTCAGTAGAGCAGAAAGGTGGTGGAGGGCAGGTGCTGAGGCAGGGGCTCTGCACGGCTCCCTGGGGCCATTCCATGCCAAGAGTGAGAGCTGGTGGGAGACCCCCATTCCCAGGCAGGGCTGTCAGCCCCCCCAGGACCCACAGGTCCCAGCTGTGACTGTGCAAAGCAAATCAACACATGGCCCAGATTGTTCCAACTCAGCCCTGAAGGGAAAATGCCACAAAGCTTGTTCTGAGTCAACAGAAAACTTTGGTTTGTCCCCAGAATAAAACCTCCTGCTGTCACATGCACCGGTTTGTTTGTTCCACCTTCTCTCTCTAGGCAGTTTTTGGAAATAAAAATGTCATTTCATCAAGCAAAGTCAAAACATATCTCTGTGCCAGAATATGTGCGCTTTTTTCTTTCTTCCTCTTTTTTTCACTCCAACTCTCCAGACTCTGCTGCAAGTGTCCTGAACTGGCCAGGAACAAGGGCAGCACTGGGACCCCAACTCCAGGCACCCCAACCCCTGCCTGGGAACCAGCACAACTCTCTGCCCAGCACAGTGTGCCCCTGGTGGGACATGGCTCAGCACCCCTCATCTCCCAGACCCCCTCCTGCTCCTCAGCAACGCCTTTCCAAGGAGCCTCACTCCAGCAATTTCCAGTTTTTGTGCCTCTGCAGCAACTCCCCCCCCCCATGCCTCGGGGCGTTTCAGCAGGGAGGGAGAGCAGCTGAGCTGAGCTCAGACGTCTCTGTGTGCGCTCCCCCCACGCGCCGGGGCCAGGGCACCCACCCCACCAGGGACTCCCCTCTGCCGGGACTCCCACTGGCACCAGCCCCGGCTCCCCACGCTCCCCCACCCCTTTACCTCCTGCAACACTTCTGGGGTCTCACAGGGCCACCGTGGTGACCTCCACCCCGGCGATGCCTGTGCCAGAACAGCCCCGTGTTCCGCAGCCCCCGCAGCCCCCGCAGCCGCGTCTCGCCGCACCAAACCCCGACAGCTCAGGGAGGAGTATTTTTAGCCTGGAGCTTCAACACAGCCATGGAGCTCTGCTCAGTTAACCTTTTGCCACTGCAAAAAGTGACCATTTCTCACTAGTGCAGTTCCTACTCTCTTAATTGGTTTCCAGCCCAGAACCCCACTTCGCCCCTCCGTTAACAAGACTTGAGCTTTCTCCGGAGCCCTCAGAGGTGTGTGCTGTGGCTATTGAGGAAGTTCCAGCTCCTGGCCCAGCAGCAACTGCTGCCTCATGGGCAGGATGAAAGAGCAGAGCCATCTCTGACTCAGGACAATGACGTTGCACCAAGGGACTGCAGCAACCTGAAGTGACCCCGCACAAGCCCCCAGCCCAGTGCTGTGCTCAGCCCTTGCCCAGGGCTGGATGATCCTGTCCTGCCTGAGGGAGCAGCCCGGGCTCAAGGCACAGCCCTGCACAGCTTGTGCTTGCCCCCACAGCAAATTTCTGCATTAATTGGAAACTCCCCCCACCCTAAATCCATGCCTGGGCCCACTACAAGGGATTTTGCACCGGGGTGGCTGCTGGGGAAAGGCAGATCTGCTCAGCCCTTCTCCAGCACACTAACACCACTGGACAGTCCCTCTCATTCCTTCCCTCTCCCTCTTTTCCCTCAGCTGAAAGCAAATGTGATAAACAGGGAAGCAGACAATGACTCCACTGTTCCGCTGCCGCCTTATCAGCGCAGGAAATTGTCTCTTTCTTTAGATCCTCTGTTATTGCTATTTCTGTAATCCACAGGGATCGGCGGGGATAAGAGGTTCTTTTCAGAAAAGGCTTGGGGGACTTGTTACAGTAATATGCCACCTCCATGCAAAGTTGTGGGCACAAGGTAAAGCGAATTAAAATAAAAGCAGAGATTATTATTATCCGACTCCTCCAGACCACGAGGCCTCGGCTGCAGCCTCAGCTGGGGTCTGGGCAGAGGTGGCAGCGGTCTGGGGTGAGGGTCTGCCCCGTGGCATCCTCAGGACTCCAGCTGTGCTCTCAGGGGAGAACAACAGCCCGGCCGATGCTCCTGGCTTTTCTGTTCCTGGGTGTGCAGGTGCTCCATGGAGCCCAACAGGCCCTTGGTCCCGGCAGCCGGGACACTCAGAGCCCACTCCCCCAGCACAGCACCAGCTGGAATGGCAACACCCCTCCAGGGATCACTCGGCAGACTGAAGGCTTCGAGACAGAGCTCTGGTCCAAGGGGAGTTGGGAACATCACTTTTTCCGCCTCTAATCAGCTTGTTAGCAGCCTAATAACAGAGCAGCCCTGTGCATTACAACCCCCAACGTGAGGCACAGCCTATTGTGGAGCTGCTGCCTGACAGCCAGCGTTCGGCAGCCCTAAATTATCCCGTGACAAGCTGCAGTGAAGAGGTGAGCAACCTTGCGCATAATCTACAATCATTATCATTTCCATCTTTATTACCCACAGTATGCCGAGCACATTAAGGAGGCTTTCAGGGAGCTTTTGTTTTGCAATAATTTCTTAAAAAACCTGCTTTCTTGTTAGTATCTCCCCTGCCATCTCATCAAAATGGAAATGCTGCAAAAGGCTCCATTTATTTCCTTTAATTCTCCTCCACACTTCCAGCCAGCACCGGCTTGGTGAGACTTTTTGGTTGAGCCAAGGTTAGAGCTGGCTGGGCAGGCTCGGCCTCCTCGAGCGCCGGGGCTGGATGCTCTGAGCAGAGTCAGTTCAGCAAAAGGTCCCTCAGCAAACCACCCCCAGCCCTTCGCAGTGGGTGTTCCCAAAAGCCATGGTGTCAGCAGCTCAGCACCGTGGGGACACACTCGGGGGGTCCAGAGAGGGGTCCGGATGGTGGGTCACCCCAGGGATTTCCAGGGAACAGCAACTCCAAGATTTGTTTGTCAGAGCAGCTCTGGGCTGGCAGGCGGGAGCTGTTTGCATTTGACATAAACGAGATGATTCCTGTTTTGGCTGGCAAGCAAAAGGATTTGGGGCTCATTCATGAGATTTTTATTCTTTGTTCTTAATCCCTCGCACTCGAGCACGGAGCCTCATCCGGGCTGGCCTCAGTCCCATGGGAACTCAGTGCTGGGGAAAGGCACCGGCTGGGCAGCACTTGGTCCCTTTCCATGCAGAAAAAGTGCTCATGACACTGGGACCTGGATCTGCCATCGGGACTCATCCTCCCCTCCCACACACCAGCATCCTGTGCTGCCACTGCTCCCATCCGGAGAGGGGCAGGGGGGTCAGCAGAGCTCTTCCCACCCCAATTCCCATGCTGGCTGGGCCAAGGGAAGCGGCCTGAAGACATGACAGCCTCTCTCAGCCCTGCTCCTCACAGCCCACCAGACACCAGCCAGGCCTCTCCCCTCCTCCCTTACCTTTTCCGCCGACTGTGACGTCCCAAAAAATATCGGGATGAAGGCTAACCACACAATGCAAGTAGTGTACATGGTGAACCCGATGGGTTTGGCTTCGTTAAAGGTCTCCGGGACTCCACGGGTCTTAATGGCATACACAGTGCAGGTGACCATGAGGAGCATGCTGTACCCGAGCAAACAGATGAGGGACAGGTCCGAAATGTCACATTTGAGGATGCCCCGGGCAAAGTGGGGGTTTGTAGTCCGCTGGTCCTCGTAGTCAATGACAGAGTGGGACGGGTCCACGATGAACCAGATGCAGACGCCGACGAGCTGCAGCGAGATGAGGCTGAAGGTGATGACCAGCTGGGAAGCGGGGCTGATAAACCGGGGGGCACTCACCGACTTCTTGCCCTGCTCGAAGATGCGGTAGATGCGGTTGGTCTTGGTGAGCAGCGCGGCGTAGCTGATGCTCATGCCCAGCCCGAGGAAGATGCGTCGCAAGGAGCAGGTGCTCAGGTCGGGCTCGGCGATCATGAGGAAGGTGGTGGCGTAGCAGAGGAAGATCCCTGTCAGCAGGACGTAGCTCAGCTCCCGCCCCGACGCCTTGACGATGGGCGTGTCGTTGTAGCGCACGAAGGTGATCACCACGAAGAGGGTGGCGATGATGCCCACGATGGCGATGAAGACGGGCACCACGGCCCAGGGCGAGCTCCACTCCAGCTTGATGATGGGGATGGGGGTGCAGCTGGTGTGGTTCTCGTTGGGCCGCTCGTTGAAGTGGCAGCGCTTGCAGTGGAACTCGTCCAGCTGGTACTGGTAGCCGTCGCAGCGCTCGCAGTGCCAGCAGCAGGGAATGCCCTTCACCAGCTTCTTCCTCTCGCCCGGCTTGCAGGGCAGGCTGCAGATGGAGCTGGGGAGCTGGGTCCCACCTCCTGGCCACAGCATGTTCTCAACCTGTGGGGAACACGGCACCAGCCCTGCTGACGGCACTCTGGCCTCAGCCAGGCACCCCCAGGGCACAGGGGATGCCCTGCCCTGCTCACAGCAGTGCTACCCAGATCCAGCCCCTCACCCCATCAGCACCCAACCTGGCATGGGGATAGAGTGGTGATGAAGCTCTCCACTGGCCTTTTGGGAAAGTTCAACATCAGAAACCCAAACCAAAGTCCCTCCTTCTCTGAGAAAACCCCTTCTGCTCTGTTGTGGCTTCTCTTTCCTGCCCGATGCCCGGAGCCCGTGGGGATGGTCACACGTGCTGGTCACCGCAGCTGAAGCACAGGTGTGTACTTGCAGTACACCCTCCCCTCTGACCCCCCATGTTTGTCTGCCTGACTTTGCACCCATGGGCTCCCAGGCTACAGACCCTGCTTGGTGAGAAGAGAAACCTGCAGGACCTCCCCTCAGCACAGCCTGTTCACGGCCCCAGTGCAGCACCAGCAAGCCCTTACCTTGAGGTGCAGGTGGTCTGTCCACTGCCCGATGACTTTGTACTCAGGGGTGGAGTTCCTGATCTGGTACTGGTAGATGTCGTAACGCCCCGGCGCGTCTCCGTTCTCGTTGAACGTCACGGGGGTCCCAGCAATGCCTGTGGGACAGGGGGGGCTCAGCACCCACAGCACCCCCAGCATGGGGAGTCCTGGGGATGGGGTCCAAGGGGGCTCTGGTTTGATACTCCCCCCCCTCACTGCTTATTTTAAAAAAGGGGGAAAAGCAGCTTTAAAGTTAAATCAAGTGAAGTCTGCAGATAAACACTAATGAAAGGAAGAAAGTGAAAAATCAAGCAAGAGGGAAAAGTAAATAGAAGAGACACTGTGGAGGAGATCACAGGGTGGAGATAAATAGAAGTAATAAGAGGACAGGACAGAAAATGTTTATTAAGGAGATACAGCAGGGGAAAATGGCATTTCCAGAGGAGATCTGAGACAGACAAGGGCAGAGCAGCAGGATTCAGTGGGACCTCTGCCAGGCGGGAGGAAAGGAGGTGGGGGGGAGCAGGCAAGGGGAGAGCCCAGGCAGGGTGAGGGCAGGATTGGTGCCGGGTTACACTCCAAAGGCTCCCAGGAGATGTGGAAGCTCAGACCTCCTCATCTACTGATCTGCTGTGAAACTGCCCCATCTCTGCCCCCCTCATTCGCAGTGCAGTGGGTGCCAAATGGCAACATGAATAACTTGTGGATGCTGCTGTGTGACCCTTAGTGGGGGACCAGCAGGGACACCCGGCCCCTGGGGCCGCTCCTGCCACCGCCCCGGGCACGACAGACCTGAGAAGTTGACGTTGCGGATGTACTTGAGCAGCTCCACCCCGTCCACTGGGTCCATCCTGGGGCACAGCCCGACCTTGCCAGGGCACAGGTTCTTGTGCATGTTGTGCAGAGCGTGTCCCATGGCGTAGACGGCGTCGATGACGAACTGGACCTTCCCCTCCTGCTCGTACGAGGAGTCCTGGCCGATCCGCTCCCGGTCTGCGGGTACAGGGGGAAGCAGGTTCCATCTCCCTGCGCCCCAGCCAACCCCTGGGGCTGCACCCAGTCCCTGGCAGACAAGCCCACCCTGGACTGGAGCAGCTGGAAAATCCAACCCCGTTCCCAAAACTGAAAACCCAGGTGATGTGCAGCCAAAAAACATTCACTAGGGAAATACCCAACCAACCTCCCTGTAACATAGTCCTGAAAATATCAGTGCTGCCACCCTGCTGTGCTTCCCAGAGCCTTTGGGATGTCACATCCCAGTGCCATGGGCCGTCCTCATACTCCCAGGTGCCCAGGAGGGATGCAGACTGGGCTGTGACTGACTTTCCACCCTCACCCCCATGCACTGACCTCCTTCATCTCCTGGGAGCTCCCCCAGGCTCAGTCTCTATCAGTGGTGTCAAGGAATGCCCAGGCAGCATCCACCACTGTCTATGTGTCCTCCATCTCACTTCCAACACCTCCTGTCTCCCTTCTCCCCTCGTCACCCCCTGCCACCCTCTGGCCTCGCTGACCCCACAGCCTTCCCAGCTCACAGGATCCTGCAAGGATCTGGCAATTACCGGTGACAGCTGCCTTCATCCCTGCCATAACTGCCCTTAATGGGACCAGAAACATGTTAATCACTTAGCAGAAGACACCGCTTAATGTAACATGCTGTTAATTACAGCCCAGAGAACATCTCCCAAGGGGCACTGCCACGACAGAGCCTCGGCCTCTGCCCCCCCGTCGCCACCTCCAGCCACAACCAACGGGAAGGAGGGTTTGTCAGAGAGCCGAGGGCACAGCCTCCCTCCTCCAGAGGGGCAGCACATCCTAGAAAGTCGTGCAAGGGTGTCCAGAATTAACTCTGGCTCCCCGTGCTCGGATGTGCCCTGATGTAAGGTGGGGTTCACGGGGGCCACGGGGGACCAGGCACTCAGCCTGTGCAGATGGGGACAGAAAGGCACAAGCAAGCATTAGGTGCTGATCCCCTCCATCCCTGCTGTGGGAGGGTGGGATGAAGCTGGCTCTGGGTGCAGAGCAAACCTCTGCTGAGAGGGAACGGCCCCGTGGGCTGTGCCGGAGGTCCCTGTGCCAGGATGAGGTGACACGTGCCACTGACATGACACTAAAGCGAATTGATAACGAGCTGACCGACAGGAAAAGATGATATCAGGGAGGTGAACTCATAGCCCATCCTTCAAAGTTACAAAAACACTTTTGGATCGTGGAGATTACTCATGCAAACCCTGCCAGGTGATCCCTCCTTCCACATTATTGACAGGAGCCATTAATCTTCTCCCTCAACTTTGAGCCCTTCCCCACATTCATCTCCAAAGGTGCAGACAAGCCACTCTGTCTTGTCAAGATAATTACCCATTAAAGGAAGGGATGTAATAGACTGTCCAGGGGAGCTGAGCCCATAGCCATGTCCCAGCCCTGCCATCACCCCCAGCACTGTCCTGCCCAGGGGACACAAAGGACCCAGGGCTGGTCCTTTACAGCTACTTTGCTTCCCAGCAGCCAGCTGAATCCCACAGAGGTCCCCAAATCCAACCCACTGCAACAACACAGGCTGTGGAGGCTGAATTTTCATCCCACACATCCCTGTGCCCTGCAGCGAGCATCAGCCTGGGGCTGTGGGAAAGCCAGATCTGGTGCCAAGGCTGAGCATTGCAGATAAGGAAACATCCCTGGGGCTGGCTGGCTGGCCGTCTGTGGCACCTTGCCCCAGGCCCCAGATGCTCTTTCCAGACGGGAATTAGGCTGGTGCACAGAGGGGAGATGTGGAGCAGACAGCTGAGGCTTGTTCCCAACATGGAGACAATAAATCTCTGCCAAACTCAAATAGATTAGGGCCACGAAAGGGATGTGACCTGCTGATTATAATAGCAGGGTCGTGCATCCTTCTACAGGGCTGGTAATTAATTTTCAAGTGCGTGACGAGGCTCCGCGGCCCCCTCGGAGGAGGGATGCAGATCCCTTCTCCAGGCGGATGAGAAGGGATTAGCATCACTTCCCATCACACCACCGGTGCTGGCTTTTGGCAGGAGTTAATCAAAGTCACTCACAGTGCTGCTCCAGGGAGCTGGGGATGGAGAACCTCCAAATCTCATGGAAGCTGGTGGCAGCACCCAGCACCCATGGCCATGTTTTTGGGCTGGGTGAGCCCATCCAGGAGCAGGGATGGTTCCCCCACAAGGGATGCTCATGGCAAACAAATGATGGGTGCTGGGGCTGCTCTCGGGGATAACGTAGGCAGTTGCCATCAGGATTCCATCCCCCCAGTCCTCACCCCTCACCTTCCTCCCAGGCCTCCCGTACAGCAATGGGAGCCACGAGCTGTCCTGCTCAGGGTGGGATGCTTCAGTCTGGTTTTTGGGGTGTAATAAACAAGAAAAGCTGGCACTTCTCTGGGCAAACTGGGTTCTACCCAAACCTGAAGAAAACGGCCCCAAATGGGCCATTTGCATCAGCCCTGCAAGGCAGGAGCTCACGGATCTGCACGGGCAGGTGATTTGCTTCACCATGTGTTAGTTCCCTGCTCTATCTGCCAAGCAAACACTCAGGAGATGGTTTATTTGCTGACAAGTTCAGATAATTTAAAGACAGTTCCTAGGACATTTGCCACGTCATGGCTTCAGCTGCCTCCACTGACACCTTGGCCCTGAAATATCACCCATTTAAAAGCTACATCACTGTGAAGATGAGAAGATCAGTGTTCTTGGGACCCGCTCGTGCATCTCCTGGTGCTGAGGGTTTTGTGATGCACTCAGGGAGGATGAGGAGCTCTTGGCTACCCAAGGCCATGGCCATGGGCCAGTTTCCTTGCATGCCCTTGCTGCTTACCCAACTCACGCCTATGCATTAGCAACAAGACTGCCCAGATCATCAGATGAACATTTGGGGAATGCCAGCAAGGACAAGGATGTAGAAGCACCATCCCACTCATCCTCAGTGGTGAAAGCAGGGGAAAAAAACTCCCTTAATGATAAGCTTCCCAGGCACAGCCAGCTCCATCCGATGGCACACCACAGCTTCCACAGACATCCCTCCCAAGGGGATGGAGGGACGTGCAAATGTCCCCAAGTCCTGCCACGTCGCAGCCCGAGAGCCGCCGCGTCGTTATCTGTCTACGGCCAGTGCCAGGCAGGCAGTAAATCTCTCCCATCTCTCAGTAAACATGTCACCTCCTCGAGCCTCCAACCATCACCTGACAGCAGCGCTGTCAGCAAGACAGATCCCCACTGCCTTGTTTACTGCATTCGTCCCTAAAGCCTCTTTTGGCTGGAAATAGCTGAAAATGCACAGGGGGGGTTTTAAGGAGGGGGTCGGGCACCTGGAATTAGGCTCTACCAGGATCCCCACCTGGCTTTGATGTTCACTCAGGAACAACCACGCTCACAACCAGGACCACAACCCCTCTCATGAGCCCTCCCTCGCCCACAGCAGCCCCGCAGCTCTTACTGGTGCACTTCTTGATGCTGCTGCCTTTCCTCAGCGCGTGCCGGCTCAGCTTGCAGTGGAAATTATCCTCCCAAAACTCAGCAAACCAGATGTTTCGGCGGTTGTTGTCCAGTGTCCTGCTGGAGAAGTAGCGGTCGAAACCTGCCCGGGGAAAAGTGGATGGAGGGGCTAAATCCCTGGAATGGCAGAGAGATGCATAACATGTCCCTGAACTCCCCAGACAGAGGGGAAAGGGGGTTTCCTGGGTGATGGGGACACACCAGAGTGTGGTGGGATTGTGTCCGAGGCACCCCTTGGGCAGAGCTGCAAGTGGAAAACCCACTCAGGGAAGACCCAAAACACAGAAACTTTCTGGGACACTGAGGGCAGCAAGAAACACTTCTCTAGGCATGCCAGGGATAAAAGGAAGAGCAGGGAAAACGTGGCACACGGAAAATAGGGAGGGGATTGGTGCCAGCCAACATAGCTTCACCAAGAGCTAATCAGATGGTCTTTAAGGTCCCTTCAAACCCAAACCATTCTGCAATTCCGTGATGATTTCACAGGCAAACCCTGCAGTTATGGGACTGCCCTCAAGGCGAGCAGCCAACCCAGGGGGTCACTGAGGGTCCCACCGAGCGCAGCCCCTACCTCTGACGGAGACCCGCTTGGGCAGGATGGTGACGGAGCCCTCGGCCACCTCCTCCAGGTGCAGCACCGGGGCGATTTTGGAGCCCCAGCTGTCCGAGCCCATCCAGATGAAGTGCCCCGTCTGGTTCGCCCTCTTGGCCGCCTCCAGCACCCTTCTGTGGAGAGAACAGCAGGCGCTGGGGCACCAGCTCCGTGGCTGTCCCCAGGGAAGTGGAGATGCTGGCACGGGGCAGGGCACAGCGCCGGTGCCATCTCCTGCTCCGGGCACACAGCTGGCACCAGGCACAATCTGGTGTATATGGATAGACAGGACTAAATGGTGCAACTCAACTCCCACACCCTCTGCCCTCATAGCCTGGGCTGCCTCTCCCACCTCATTTGCATATTTGCTGACTGGTAATTGAATTTCCCCTTAATTACCCAACATTAAGAAAGAAAAAAAAAATATCAGGTTATGCTGCAGCAGGCAGGGAAAGCAGCAGCAGGGAGAGCCTGTGCTTCCAGCTCCTCAGCATCACCAGCCATGGGAGAGGAACAGGCAGTGCTGACAGTGGCCAGGACGGAGCTAAGGTGGGCTCTGCTGGGCTCAGCCGGGCAGCTGAGGAGCAGTTGGGGGTGGAGATGCCAAAGGATCCGTCCTGCTGAGCACCCCCGTCGTGCCAGTCAGTCAGACACACGCCTGTTCACCCCACCGGCGCCAGCAGGTCAGAAACTCTCCATGTTGGATGGGAGGGAGTGTTCCTGGATCCGACCCTCCGGGCTCTGCCTCCCAGGGGGTCGGTGGGTCCCCGGCTGTGCGGGAGCGGGCCCGGGGCAGCTCCGGCTCCCCGTGCAGAGCAGAGGCAGGTTGTGACTCACCCCCCGCGTCGGAGCTGATCATTTCAAGTCCAGATGGTGTTTGAAATGCGTAATAAGGAAAAAAGCCCATAGAAATCCAGCAGAGAGTGAAGACAAGATGGGAAGAGGCAGGCGTGCAGTGGGAGCTCTGCTGGCTGCTCCGAGCTCCGGGCACATCCCGACAGGGCGGGCACAGCCCACGAACCACTCCAGGCACGAGCAGCACCTCCAGCTGCCCACAGTCCCTGGGAGGAGAAGGATCTCCCCGGGGCAAACTCAGGACATTCCTGTGGCATCACTGATTTATACCCTGTCTGAGCCAGGCAGGAATTCCAGCAAGTACCTTCCCAGTCCATCCTGTCCAGCAGCATGGCCCTGATCCCCATCTTCCAGGCTCCACAGCTCAAGTTGGCAAGAGGGTCAGGATTATGGAGTACCCCATGCCCGAGCTAAAGCCAGGTGGTTTGGAACCCCACTGCCCAGGTCTGCAGTCCCATTTGGATGGGTAACTATTTCTAGACTCTTGGTAACGGGACCTGCCATTTACCCATCAAGGTAAACCCCCTTGCCCCCTCACCCCCACCTGATGGCAGCTCCACAGACATTTCTATTGAGGAAGGAAAGAGGAAACTGGGAGCGTTTGCACATCTGATGTAAACTGATTTAAACTCACAGTTTACCCACATTTACATAATGTTTGCTGATTAATAAATTAGACACTTAGGAAATCAGGGGTAGCTCCATGTGAATCATTCTGCTCCATAAACAACAGAGCCACAGACGCCTCTTCACCCGCAGAGCAGCTCCTCACCCCGGAGCGTGGCCTCGTCCCCAGCCCTGCTGGGCAGCAGAGTGGGGGGGGGTCCCTGAAAGGTCCCCCAGACCTGTTCCTCTGCCCTGCTGGGGCTGGGGCTGCACAGCAAAGCAGAACCAGTGCCTGGGTCCTGCCCAGGCCAGCCCTGTCCGGCTGAGAAGCAGTGGGCCATGGCAGCCACGGCTTCCAAAACCAACGGAAAGCGGATTTTCCCTCTGTTCAGCTCCGTGTGGCTGTGGCTAGATGGCAATGATGGGCCAGGTGGCCACTCTGAGGTCAGCTCTGGTGGGTCCCTGCCGTGACCGTGTCCCTGCCACGCTTCATGGTGCATCCTCTCCCCACTGCAGACACGTCCCGTCAGTCCCCCCTGCCCCAGACCCCCTCCCAGCCAGGCCGGCCCCTCCACACCTGATATCGTCCTCGTTGGCAAAGATGATGACGGCCCGGGCATGGGAGGTCTCCAGGAGGCGCCGGATGATCTTGTCAAACTCTCCTGGCTTGGGCTCCCTCGGGATCTTGACGGACTGGGCCACGCAGACCCCGCCTGCGGCAGAGAGAGCCCGGCACTGAGACACCCCCGGAGCTCCCGTCCCCCCCCGGAAAGCCTCTTCCCAGGGCTCCAGCTCCGAGCACCAGCCCCTCCCCAGCCCAGGAGCTGCAAAGGGTTCTGCACATGGAATGGTCAAACTCTGGCAAAACCAGCCCGTGGGAAGAGCAGATGAGCCCCTCACCCCGAGACAGCAGCCAGACCCTGCAGAGGGTTTTAGTCCCATCCCTGCGGCACCGGCTGAGCTTCAGCCCAGCTTTTCAAGGGGCCATTGCAAAAGCAGGTAATTAAAATTAAAAGAGATAAGGGGAAGTTGGCAATTGGAAGAGCCCACACACATGGCTGCTGGGCTCCCAGCTCCGGAAAGCCAGAGCCCTCCTGCTCCTGCATTTCTGCAGATGCCAATAAAGAGAGAGATGAGAGTGAAAATTAAACATTGTGGGACCTTCTGGATGTAATTGATGGTCTTAATTTGCATAGTAAATGACACGGCTGATGCCTCCTGCCACTAACAGATCCCAGATTAAGCAAAGGTCGGCATAATTAGCACTCAGGGCAGGGAGAGATTCCCAGTGCACAGCCCTGGAGAGGAGCAGGGCAGGACTGGATGGGGACAGGCTCTGGGAGGGTTTGGTCCCTACATGGGGCTGCAGGAAAACTGAAAATTTGGCTCCTTGCAGCCAGAAAAGGAGAGAAGGGGGATCTGCTGGGTGCTGAGCAGGCAGCAAGGGGGACTGTGGGGATGGGGGCACAGCATCCCCAGCCTGAACCTGCTGGCCGGCACTTTTCAGGGGGTTTTTGGTTTTTTTTTTCCTATGGTAAGAAATTGGGCCAATTTGCTGTTTGTTTCCCATATGGGGAGCCAGATGGACGGAGAGGAGGGAGTTGGATAAACAGACACCCGGACAGACAGATCAGCCAGGCGAGACCGGCAGCATCAGGCAGTGCCGGCAGGACGGGAACGTCCCTGGGACACTCAGGGACACTCACCCGGTCACCACCCAGCCCCGGGCCAGGCCAGGGGGCAGGGCACGCTGCCAGGGGCCACCCTGCAGCTTAATTACAGTTTCCACGGCAATTAATGGAGAAAATCCAACAAAAGCAGCGGTTTGCAAACAGGAGAACCTTCCAAAAGCCTGTGCACAGCCAGGCAGGAGCGTGGCACACGCGTGGTAGCACAGGGCTGGCACAGGCACAGCCCTGAGTGCCCCCTAGCATGGGCACACCCCGATGCCCCCTGGCACCACCACCCCGGGGCTCCCGTGCTGTGTGTGCTCGGCCCTGGGCACAGGGAGTGCAGGAAGGGCCACACCATGACACAAACCCCGCTGTGACACGTGCCACCGCACACGTGTGCACTCGTGAGTGTGCCATGCAGGGACAGGGGGCTCAAGGCACATGGCAGAGCAAACCCAGCCTCAGGACTTCCCTGAGACAGCAACGAGTGGGGACAGAGGAGATGAGCCCATAAATAAACAAGAAAAGAGACTAAATCGATGGCAATTCAGATATGACCATGTTACTCAGCTTCTCCACTAAATCAAGCTAACAAGGAAAGCAGCTCCTCCAGGTAAGAGCCTGCAGGGCCTGGGAGCCCCTCTCTGCCACAGCAGATGCTGACAGCACCATTTAGTGTTTTTATCTTCTTAATTAATGAAAAGCTAATAATGAAAAGAAAGAGGTCCGGGGGGTCGGCAGGCAGAGGCCGGGGTAGGCAGAGCTGTGTGTTTTGGGGAGCCCTGTCTCTCAGCACCTGCATTATTCACAGCCCCTGGCACCGCAGTGGAAAGGGATTTGCCAAGCGATGCTCCCACTGTCTTCGCACAAAAATCCATTTAGTCAAAACACTCCTCTAAAGCAAGAAATCAAAGTGAGGAGGTGGAGGCGATGGGGAGGAGGCGACCGCTCTCCCTCTTCCAGCAGGATGGCACAGCACTGCTCCCTGACTCGTGAGAAGGTGTGATGTGACTCCAGGAGAAGGCAGGAGGTCAGGGATGGAGGCCCCTTTCCGCCCCCAGTTTTGGGAAAAGGCCAAGAGGAGCAGGAATAGAGGGGAAAGCCTCCAGGAAGGGGGTAACAACCCACAACCAGCTGCTGGAGGCAGTTTGGAGGCAGGTTCTGGGTTGGAGGATGCTCAGTTGAGATCCCGTGCCTGCTGTCCCTGACGGATGGCAGCGCAGCACAGAGGGCACCTGCAGCAAGAAACAGCCTCAAACCCAACCTGAGCCATCTCCAAACTTCCCCTTCAAAGGCTGCCTGCACCATCCTCAGGCATATGGCCATGTCCCTGCCAGCAGCATCGTCCCCAGCCCGGGGGGACCTCGCCAGGGCCCCGGGGACTCTCCTCATGCCACTGGGGTAGTGCCTGTTGTCAAACACGGGGCAGGGTTTAATCTCCACCATTATGGCTCAGTGGGAGTGCAGCCGCTCCGGGTTCCCCTCCTGATTGCAGGTGGCTAATTAGCTTTTGCTGGCACTGACTGCCCCAGCACTCAGGGGGTTCTGCCAGGGTTCCCGCAGAGCCGGCGGCTGCCGAGCACAGGGTGAGCAGGGACCTGGGTAAGGGGGACCTGGCCCAGCCGAGCTGGGAACAGCAATGTGCATGTTCCCCCCACCAGGATGTGCACCCCGAGCAGTCCTGGGTACCCTGAGGAGGGACTGGGCTCTGCACAGCCCAGCAGCAGTGGCCTTCTGTGAGCAGCACCCGCATGGCTCCCGTGCCCACCCCTGGCTCCCGTCCTAACCCCAGCCCTTCACATGAGATTCCCAAGCCCAGAGTCTTAATTGGGAGGAATGGGCTGTTCCCCTGCCCCAGGATTCATTATTCTTGTGACTTCAAAGCCTCCAGGAACCAACTCATTAAAGGAGAAGTCATTAGGAACACGGATCTGTGTCTTCATGGAGGCAAAGCTCCCACGCGTGGTGAGACCGATATGCTGTGGTCAAACCTCCTGCCTTAAGACCTGGGAGTGGCTTTTTGGGGGCAACATCCTGGTGCATCAACCAAAAGTAATGAACCCAGCTAAAACCAGAAAGAGACAGCCAGGGATGTCACATGGGGATGAGCAAATGCATCATAAACATACATCAGGCTCTTAACTAAAAATATAGAAAACTCAGTGAAGGATAAAACAATAGAAGGGGGAAACGACAGTAAAATTGATCCAGACACATGACTAAGGAGTCCTGTATTGGGCTGGAAATATTCCCCTCTTCACAAACCCAGCACTGCACATTCCAACACACAGCACAACACGCTGTGCTCACCAGCTCTGTTACATAAACATCAATCCAATTCCTCATCTCTGAGAGCTCAGTGACAGCAGAGACATCAACCACCCAGAGCCAAAGGGCTGCAGATGTGGCTATCCAACCACCCAAAGGATGCCAGGGGTCAGGGGCATGGGGAGGTGCTGGACAGAAGGGCTGAAGGTGGGGACACCAGGGACACCTCGATACTGGCCCTGCTGTGCACCTTGGTGCCCAAGGGAAATTCAGCTGACACCCACTGCCTATGCAGGATGTTTTTTGGGAGCAGGATGCTTTGGGGGAGCACTTAAAATACTCAGAAATGGCTGAAGAATTCTCGTCCTTTGCAGTCTTAACATCTCTGCAATTCTGGCACCCAAAAAAACAGCACTCTAGTGAGTAAGGACCCTCCAGCCACCAGTGCAGCCACCAGCAATCGCCAGGGGCCAACAGCATCATCTCCAGAGTAAGTGCAATATGCATAGAGATATAAAGATATATAAATAAAGATATAACAGCCAGACGGGTCAGTGTGTTGTGGTAGCCCAGGGCCAGCCCCAGCTGCAAGAATAACCCATCTGCAGGGTGAGTTTCTTCCCCCCTCGTCGTCGGAGGTCGGTTTGAGCCTCGAGCAGAAACGCTTTGCTCTGCGATGTGAAGCTTCAACGTGAGGCTTTGCTAAAAATTGAAACTGAAGGTCAAGTTGATAATGCATCAGAAAGCAAACAGCTTGAGTGCGAGCTGCTAACGACAGCAATGAGCATTATTGCCTGATGGAAATAAAACCCGACTCTGAAGCTCAGGCTTGGCATGAGAAATGAAGCCGAGCACTGTGGGGATGAGAGTGGGGAGATGCTCACCCTGAGCTGGGCTGGTGCAGAACGCCCTGGGCAGAGCCAGCGTGGTCTCTGCTGGGGCTGGGACAGGGGCTGGGCTGGGACTGGCTGTTCCCCCAGCATAAACACCCTGCACAGATAATCTCCACTGCTTGACCAACAGCTGGAGAGCCCCTGGCACAGGTCAGATCCTCCCTCAGCTGACAGCCCTTTCCATCCCTCTGACAGGCTGAGGCCCCTGGAGCAGCAATAAATCACAGGACCCTTTAGGCTACTGGAGAAATGCAACTGAGAGCCAAACATATCCAACCTGGCTATAACTGAGGGGACGGATCCTTCCCAGTGGATCCACACTGGTTTTGGTGTCAGCAGAGCCCTTTGCACAAGGGAAGACAAGACAGGTGAAGTGGGCACAGCCTGGCTCTTCCTCCAGCCTGGCAGCCACCACCACAGAGGGCAGGGCTGGGGGGGATTCAGATAAAAAAAAAAAGGAAAAAAAAAAAGAAAAGAAAAAACATGTTCTCAGTCCAGCCTTGCCATTATTCACTGAGGATCTGAGGCCGAGCCATGGCACTCATCCCCATGGGAGATGCTCCAGAGAGCAGGTCAGGGCCCACCCAGGTCCTGTGCTCAGGCTGGCCCACGACAGCTCTTACAAATATCTGTGTTCCTGCAGCGCATCAGGAACGCGGCGTCACCACTGGGCTGCCCTCACACCACTGTTACACTGCAGTCACTGGGGAATTATGCTTTTTGATAACTAAATTATCACTAATGCACATAATCGTTGGGTTATGTGGATACACAAATTACAGGACTCTCTCAGCCCTGGATTAACACGGGGCTGTTTCAGCTCCATGTACACTCGTTTACTCTGCAATTACGCTGTCAGATCGTTAACATCTGGTTAGAGGAGTTTGTGGCAACCACAGGTATCTCGAAGGAGAAGTGCTTGTGCTGCAGCAGGACCACAAGGCACAACCACTGCTCCTTAACTGGTGCTTGATGGAGGAGGAGCACGGGTTTGAATCGTGCCTGTGCTCCTGGCCACGTGGACCCCCGGGGGCTGCACCCATGGATGGGGCAGCAGAGCATCCTCCAGCCACTCCCCCAGACCTGCCGGGCACCAAACACCCCCCCAACAGCACCTCTGCACCCCAGATCCACACCCCCTGCAGCACCTCTGCACCCCAGACCCACACACCCCCAGCAGCACCTCTGCACCCCAGACCCACACACCCTGCAGCACCTCTGCACCCCAGACCCACACCCCCAGCAGCACCTCTGCACCCCAGACCCACACACCCCCAGCAGTGGCTGCTCCGGAGCATCCCCACGCGCTCCTTCTTGGAAAACCACAGCCCCATGAAAATATTCTGCTTTTCAAGTGAAAATCCTGAAGAGCAGCTCCCAGGTTGGATCCCCAGATGGGTTTCTCTGCATACTAAAAGCGTTGCTGGTTCCAGTGCCAGGGCGCGCGCGAGACGGAATTAACGCTGTTCCTATTTATAGGGCTTTGATTAGGAGCTCGTCACCTGGAAGTTTTTATTCCCTTTATCCATTTATAAGGCCATAACACAGTTTGACTGGCTCCAGATAGGCTGGTGTCCCACCGACTTTGCCAGAACCTAATGTGCCATTCAGACACACTTAAGCCAGTAATAGGCAGCAGCCTGAGCTGCAGGGTTTTAACTGCCTCAAAAAACACCCTTTAGCTCCCATCTCACCCTGTGCACGTGCTGCTGCACAGGTGAGGTGATGCCAGAGCCAGGAGGGACCCCAGTGCTGTGCCAGCCCTCCGTGGGGCAGCTCCAAGTGCACGGTAAGAGTGCCTGCAGCAGCAATTCCCAGGGCTCCTCACCCATCCCAGCTGCCCCAGGGTTGATGCTCAGGTACCCACAAGCTCCCCCACTGCTCCCGAGGCTGCTAATCCCCCTTAAGCATCCCAGAGCTCCCGTCAGCAAAACGCTTTCTGGCTCTAGACAAATCCTCCCAAAGAGTTTTGCTGAGCATGGACTTTCTGCCTGTCCAAAGCTCACAGACAAATTAAAGCACCTGCCCTCAGGGATAATTCCACTAAAATTGGGCAACTTGCACGGTAGTGCCAACTTTATTTTCTGTTAAAACCTGGGAATATTTGTAAAAGCCTTTTGTTCTGGAAGATGCCCAGCGCGTGGCTCAGATGCAGAGGGAAGGGATCAGCTTGGAGAAATTGAGGTCTCCTGGGGAGCAGGGAATGGGATCTTGAGATGCTTCCCAAAAGCAGCCTGCCCTGCAGAGGGAAGCCCAGTATTGCCGGTCCCAACCCTTGCTGGAAAGCTTGAATCCTTCCTGGCCACCTCACTGTCCTTGCAATCAGCACAGCAGCCCCAAAACCAGCACTGCTCTGGGGTCATGCCCCAAACTGCACCATCCACCCTATTCATCACCCCAAACACATCCCAGCTCAGCACAGGGAGCTCACGTGTTCCCTCCACCCCATCCACTGCCACAGCTGCTCCGTCCCAGGAGAAATCCACTCACCATCCTCCCTGGATTTCTGGATGAAGGCCTCCACGCCGCTCTCCCCGTAGCTGCCCTCAGAGGCCAAGGTGGAGACGTAATTCCACTTGAGGGCTTTGACAATGTCCACCATGGCCTGGGCCTGGTACGTGTCCGACGGGACGACGCGGGAGAAGAAGTCGTAGCGGCTGTTGTCGCTCAGGTCGGGCGCGGTGGAGGCGTAGCTGATCTGGGGGATCTGGGGTGGAGGAGGGAAAGGCAAAGCATCAGGGGGAGCAGGTGATCTCCACCCCACAGCGATGCCCTCCCCTAGCCCTTGCTCCCAAAGCCCTGATCTGAGGGAGAGGGAGGTGGGAGTGGAGGCAGACCGTGGGTCAGGTGGAGCACGTGCCACCAGGTGGACGGGGGGGCTCCAGGAGACGTCGGGGCTTGGGGACCACCCGCAGCTCAGGGACACCCAGCAGGACCCCAGAGGGGCTCCCTGAGCATCGGATGTGCCTGGCGTGGAAAAGGCCAAAGAGAAAACCCAAATTCTGCCCTGGCCAGCACTGCCAAGGACTCCCTTTGGCTTCCTCCCCCAGGAAGGACAGATCCAACCCCCCTGCCGGGTCCTGCCCACCCAAGCCATAAATAAGCCCTTTAAATTAACCAGAGCCGCCGCACCTCTCGCAGTGCACGGGGGTGATTAACAGCGCAGGATCAGGCGATGTTTAACACTTACACAGCACTTTCCATCTCCAAAACACACCACACATCCTCATTTATCTTCAAGATGGAAAAGGCTTATTAAATTATCAAGCCCAGGTTCTCACCACCAGCCTGAAGCTCCCTCCCAAAGACATCCCGAGTATCCAGACAGCCCCATCCACCGTCTCCCCATCCCAGTCCCCAGCAGGTACCTGCCCCAGGTGCAGCAAGGGCTGGCAGAGCCCTGCCCCAAACCTGGGCAAGGTTTTAAATAATGGCAGGGACTGGAGCCACAGGGCAGCAGGGCTGCCTGGAGCTGGTGCATCCTAGGGAAGGCTTTGGCCACCCACCACCCTCTCACCTTCCTGCAGGTGCTGCTTTACTGCAGGACAGAGAAAACAGAGGAGGAACAGCCCAGGGCATTACTGACCCCAAACCACCCCATGCCTCAGGGGTGAGCGAGTGCAGAGCATGATCCCAAGCTCTTCCAGGACTCTTCTCTCCTGTTCCCTCTGATCCACTTAGGAATAATTCAGTAATTGCAGCTGCCAGAACCACAGGGGACTGTGAGGGATCCCAGCCATCCTCCAGGCTGAGCAGGCACCGGGATGCCCAAATCAGCTCAGGCTGCCTCACCCAGTGCCCCTCCCCAATAAGCAGTCAGCCAATTCCCAGCAGCAGAGACACCTGGGTGGGCTTGCAGGGGCCAGGGGGAGGTTTGGGGTCTGTGGGAACCCTAGTTTGTGTTATAAAATCCAGCCAGCTTTCTGGGAGCCCTGCTGGGGCACAGCATCCCGAGGATAAAGAGACGGGCACCGGGGCAATCCCACAGATCCTCCTGGGTCTCCCGGCCCCAGAACCCCCTCCATCCTCCTCCACTCCTGCAGCTCCCAGTTTCTCCTTTGTTTCTCTGTTATTTCCCCTCTCCCACTCCTGCCTCTCTCTCTGTTAAACGCAATTCCCGTGTTATAAACCCATGACTCCACCTGAATGCTAAAAGGCCCCTGGAAAGGAGCAGCCACCCTTCTACCTGCCTGAGAAATAGGAGATGAAAAAAGGAAAGATGGAGAAGGAGTGGGAGAGGGAGAGGAAGGAATCTTTATCAAGGCACAAATAGGATTACTCCCTGTGACAATCTGCTTTGTGCTCCGTTCCGAGGGGCTCTGATCTGCTCGTTGGGGATCTGTGACTGGAGCCGGTGCCTGAGACTCGATTAAAATTCTGCTCAGCAGGTGAGGCGCCCGCCTGGCAATCACTCATCCCGCGGGCAGGGGGGGCTGCTCCGAGCCCGCTCCTCCCTCCCTCCTCCTGCCGTGCCCGCAGGACCCACACGGGCTCAGGATGGAGGCAGTGCCTGCAGGGTGCCCACACCACCGGGACAGGAGGCAGCAGTGCCCACGTCAAAGGTGACTGGGAGGCAGGGATGCAACCCTGCCCTTCCAGAGGATCCTTTCCCAATGATTTTTCCCCTGAGAAGTGTTTTGGTTTAACCAAAACAGACCCCTGCCTTCTGCACAGGGCACTGGTGATAGAGGCTTCCCAGCTATTCCCCATGCCAGCACCACCCCATCCAAGCTCAGGTGGTCTGGGATTAACCTCGGGCCTGCCCACCCTGCTCCAACCTCAGCTGGAAAACAAAGCCCAGAAAATACCTGTTGATCCACAGGCTACAAACTGGAAGCTGTATTTTAATAAACAAAAGAAAAGAGCTTTTTTTTCTCTCGCTCCTCTGCCTTGGATGAAAGTGAAAATAAAACACCAGTTCCCAAATGACCATTTCATAGATTTCTTCTGCCTTTTCCCCCTCTGCCTTTTTGATAGCCCAACTCCTGGCACCAGCTATTTTCTCAGATAAAAGACAAAAGTCCTTTTAGGTCCATAAAAGCAAAATGCAGGCAGGGAATTTAAGGTTCTTAGAAAGAAGGATGTGGCGGGAAGGGGGAGCTGGAAATATATCTGAGCTGCATATTTGGCCACTGGTGGTCCCTTGCCTGGCTCATCTCCAGCCTAGAACAAGCACCAGGTTGAGGAGGGGGCAGGAAAGCTCTCCTGCACCCCAAGAATTCATTGTGAGTCAGAGTGGGGAGTAATCCCAGGGCAGGGGATAAAATCTCCTTCCTCCTCTTTTTTTGAACCAAAAACCAGAATCAGCATCATCCAGAAGTACCCCCAGCCTGGAGAATTGTCCCTTGGGATAAGAGAGCAGGTGGGAGCCAGGGTTCAGCGTCCTGGATCAATGCACTGGTGTGATTGACTTCCAATGCGCTGGAAAAGCTGGATTTTGTGCCCGTCACTGTCACCCATCATTAACAGGGCTCAGGAGCTGCTGCGGCGTTTTCTCCACCAGTGTGGGACAGAATCCCCCAGACTGGGGAGAATCAAAGGCAGCAATTTCAGCACATTCCAGCTAAGGCTCAAACCATCGATCAGAACACCGGCCTGAGCAGCCAGGAGGGAATTACCCCAAACCAACAGGACCATTGCAGAGCCAGAGCTGGGCACACTTGTCAGGAGCACCCCACGAGCAGGGGCTCCTGCACCAGCCCCCCCATCCCAGAAACAGGGTCGGGAACAGCCAATTCCCTACCCATAATTATTAATTTCATGCATATCTTATGCAAACCTCTGGTTCACTGACAAGATGGAATTGATTTAATTAGAATTTCCATCATCGAGCCATTTGGATGGCAGCTTTTAATTAGGGAGAGCGTAAAGCACCGCAGGGGCTGGAGCAGGGAGGGCTGAGCGGGGCTGGTCGGGCATCGGAGCAGAGGAGCTGCAGCTCTGTCCTGCTGCCCCTTCTCCTTGGCCCAGTGCTGAGCCAGGGGCCAGCCCTCAGCATCTCCTCGGGGAGCAGTAAGGTAAAAATAAAGCCCCGGGAAGCACAGCAGGTGCAGGAGGATGCTGCCCTTCAACACTGTCCCTTCGGCCTCCCACTCCTCCTCACCGAGCCGTGCCCAGGGAACAGCTCAGGGCTGTGGGGCCGGGGCAGCCCAGGGGAGCCAGGCAGCTGCAATTTGTTTAAATAAACCCAGCAAAGAGCAAGGAACTGAAGTGGCAGGAGGGGGTGATTAATCAGAGTGACCCCCAGCCACCTTCCCACCTCGTGAAGGTTATTCACCCACCTCGTGGGGAAGCGTGTGCCAAACGCAGCATCGCTCCTGCCCCCAGAGCCTCGGGCACCCCAACACGAGCCGGGGGGCTCAGCACCAGGGGCTGATCCTGCTCTGCACCCCCAGCCCCAGGCAGCACAACCTCGTGTGCCTGCAGGTGCCAAGTGCCCGTGGCTGTGCCGCACACACCACAGGCAGCACCGTCCCCAGGTGAATTATTCATGTTGTACAACACTCCTGCGCTAAGGAGAGCGGCTGCACTCACTGACACGGAGAAAACAAGCGTCTCAAAGTGCCCTGGCACGTGTCAAGTCCATCCTCTGGCCAAGGATGCTCAAGGATGCTGAGCACTTGGGCTCCATCCTGTCACAGCTCTTTCTGGATGGGGATGAAAAACACCCCCCAAACCCTGACGCAGGTTTTTGGGGATCACACTCGCAGGACACGGATCTGGTTTCTTCGCACCATCCCCGCTGTGGTGGTTCAGGAGACAGTGGGTAGAGCTGGGGCTGGAAAGCCAGCAGTGAGGGGTGGGAAGGAGCTGGAACGTGCCGGAGCGCTCTGGCAGTGACGCCAGAGAGATGCTATCGCACAGAGCCGAGAGCACCGATTTGGGGGAAGGATTTTCTGCAGGCAGAGCAACGAGGAGTGATGAAACCAGCTTGGACAGAGGATGCCGCATCTGCAAGTTGTTCCACTGATGTACAGCTTTAATTAGGCAGCGGCAGCTAACGAAGGACCTGTTATTTATTTATGTAGCACAGGAGCGAGAAAAGCCCTGTCAGGGAGGGGCAGGACCAGCCTGGCAGGGAGAGCAGGGATGGAACAGGGAGAGGTGCACAGGAGGGAGTGTGGGATGTGGCAAGGGACCGTGGCAAGGACAGCATCATCCAGAGACAGGAACAGCCACCCCTGCTGTGTGTTTGGTCACAGGACAGAATGGGCTGCTCCAGGCTCCCAGGGAAAACTAGGGGGGCTGCTGTGCCCCCTCCCAGCCAGGACTCGGCAGGACTTGTATTTTCTCTTCATCTTGTTGGACTTTCTAGTTGATTCTGTGCTGTCACCGCTCACTGGATATGGTACAGCCCTCCCAAATATGCTACACCCCCCCCAAGATGTGCTGCAGCCATCCCAGAGAAGCACTTCAGCAATTCAGAAACCAGAGCACTCAGAGGGTGCTTTAAACAGCAGCACAACTGCCCCTGCTGCCCGCAGGGAGGGGACATCGCGAGCGGGTCCCGTTCCAGCTCCCAGCACTTCACACCAGTGTCCCTGTGCTGAGGGAGCACCAAGGGGGACACAAGTGGCACAGCAACATGGGGCCAAGCAGGAGCAGAGCTCCAGCAAGTGCCATTCCCCAGAGAATGGGCACAGGGCAGAGCTTCGCTGAACCCCCGAGCAGAGTCACCTGCGCTTAAAGGTCAGTGGCGGCGCGAGATGGAAGTCACCTTACTTTCATTTTCAGCACGTCCCAGCCATTAAACCAGTGTTTGAATAACAAAGAGCGGCAGCAGCACTCAGGTCCTGGCAGGAGGAAGAGACCCCAGAACTCCCCAGCCCCTGCCTGTGCCCAGACAGTGGGGTGGGACAAGACCCCATCCCATGGGAATGGTATTCCTGTGCTGGGGACCACTGGGAGTGCACCAACTCTGTGCACCTGCTCAGCCCCACACCAGGATTTGCTGCTGTCTAGGAAGGACTGAGCTTGACCTTGTCCTCCCCTCCTAGAGGGTTTTGAGGTCTCCATCCTCTCTTTACCTGCCCTTCTCCCCATTTGAGTTTCCTCCCTGTCCTGTTGGGATGGGATCGGCTCTGCATTAAAGCTGCTGGGGCTCAAGATGTACCACCAGCAGCACCAGTGTCTGGCTGCACAGCTGGGGCAGGGTTGCACCTGAGCTTGGGGACATCCTTCCTGCACAGGTCACACAAGGATCAAAACTGGAGAAGGGCAAGAAAAAAAAAAAAAAGCAAGAACCTAGAAAGACTGTGGGTACCTCTGACTGTCACTCTCCTGCCTCCTTCCCCACTGCCTGCCTGCCTCCTCTTCTCCAGAGCAAGCATTCAATCTTTCTTGTCTCAGCAAATAGCTTTTAAGTTCCTCCCACTCCCACTAATTTATATTATTTTAATTATTGAATAGCCCTCTCACTCGTTGCCTGGAACATTAACACATTTTAAAAAAAAGGGACCCAGAAAAATCAAACTCCATCAGCAATCTGGATTTTCTGTCTTCACTAACAGCTCCCAGCCCTCCCAGGAGGGCACCCGGCTCTCAGCTGGGCTGGCAGAGGAAGAGGAGGGGGAAGAGAGAAAGGGAAACAGCACCAATCCTGCAGAACAGAGGGGTTACAGGGTGCTGGGGGGAGGCCAAGCTGGGATGGGGCTCCCACCCTGCTGGGGGTACAGAATATTTATGTTCTTCCCTCATTCCTGCAGAGGGACGGACGTGGCTGCAGATAAGTAAATACACAGCAAGGGGGAGAGGAATTATCACCTCGGCATTCCTGCAGCTGACTGGAGGGAGAGCTGCCCTCATCCCATCACAGCCTGAGCACCTCTGGGGTTGGTGGCACAGAACAAGTGCCCCCAACCTGGCTGATGTCCCATGGGCTGGAGCAGAGCGATCCCAGCTGTCCCTGCACTCCTCAGCCATCCTGTCCTCAGCTGCCCAGCCCTCTGGCTCAGATGGGACCTTACACTTTGGGGTATAACCCACACCCCTTATCGAGCACCCCCATAACTGGTGTCATAACCCATCCTCAGCCCACCTCCCCCACCAGCATCCCCCCTCACCACGAAGCCGGGGGAGAAGAAATAAAAATCCTCCTGCTCCAAGTGCCGTCAGCGGAGGGGGATGGAGGAAGGGATCCCTGGGGACCCGGGGGAGGCAGGAGAAGCATTTTAACGACACCAGCTCACACCTTCCCCCAGCTGTGGAGGAAGAGGCACGCACGGAGGAACACTGCCAGAGCACCCGCGGTGGTTGTGCCGAGGGGTTCCTTTCACCCCGGCCGAGCCCTACCTTGAAGAGCCGCAGGATGTTGGCCACCATGATGGAGACGGAGCTGCCCGAGGCGCCGATGACGCCGACCACCCGCTCGGGTTTGGTGATGATGGGGGGGCCCCCGCTGACGCAGCGCACCTCGGTGCTGTCCTTCTCGATGAGGGCTTGCACGAAGGTCAGCGACTGCTCCAGGGCGTGCGTGTCCCGCGAGCAGGTGTCCAGGATGCGCGCGCCCAGGGTGATGTTGGGGAGCAGGTCGGGGTCGTTGTTGATGCGGTCCAGGGCGAAAAGCATGGCCTCCAGGCGGTGGATGCCCTTTTCCTTCTTGAGCTCCCCGCAGGCCTTGCCCTCGGCGCCCCGGCCGTGCACGGGGAAGAGCCCCCCGAGCGTGATGTCCCCGTCGATGCGGATGGAGTTCATGTGCGGGTAGCCCTGGCCCTTGGGCTTGGCGGCACCCCCGGGCGCCCACCCCCAGCTCCAGGCACTCAGGAGGAGGCAGAAGGAGAGACGCTCCATGCAGAAGTGACCCCCGCTCATCGCCAAGGCCGTGCTGGGGCAGAGCTCGGGCCGGGAAGGCGGCGGCGCTCAGGGGGCCGGGCTGGCGGGTGCCATCGCTCCGGGGGGATCCCGCTCCAGCACCGTCAGCGGCTCCCGCCGGTGCCGCCGGCCCCGGGGCAACGGTGGGCGGCCGGGCTGCTGGAGGGTGCCGGGCTCTGCATGGCTACACCAGGGTGGACAGACGGCAGCAGAGACACGAGCCCACGCGAAGCTTCGCGTCCTTCCTCTGGAGACCTTGAGAGGGAGGGGGACAGGGGCGAGAGAGAAAATTAAGCAGGAGCATGAAGAGGACATTGGCTATTCTGAGCTTTTGTCAGGGAGTCCAGCAGAAATTACCACTGGAGGTTATTGCAAAAAATAGGTTTGGGATTCACCGGATTTCTGATTCTTGCCAGCGGCTTTGGCTCAGCCCAAACTGCATCCGGGCAGAGGGGCTGGTCAGGGCACCACACACGCTCTGTCCCACAGAGCAGGACAAGGTCAGTGGCCAGCTCAGGGCTGGAGGGAGGCCCTGGAACTCACCCCCATCGCCTCTTTAGGGAGCGGTGAGGGTGGGACAGGTCCCAGGACAGCACTGGGTGGGGAGTGGGGGGCAAATCCCACATACACCCCCAGCCCTGGTCCCTGCCTGCCCCAGAGCATCCCTCCTCTTTCCCAGCGGGTTTTTCAGTCACCTGTCGTGAGCCCACGAGTCTTGAGCACCACAGACTGAGCAGGCTCAGTGCTGGTCTGTGTCCTCAGCCAGAGCCAGGCACTGACAAAATCCAGCATTATGGACCCCAGTCACTACCCAAAGCACTGTGCTCCTGCTGCTCTGCCTTCAGGCCACTGATTCCTGAACCAGCAGCTGCTTCTTTGCAAACTTCCCTTATCGACAGCTTCCAGCAGCAAATATCGACAGCACCTGAGCTGCCCCTGCCCGGGCAGCACAGCCCCTGCCCGGGCAGCACAGCCCCTGCCCGGGCAGCACAGCCCCTGCCTCAGTTTCCCCCCGGGCAGGCTCTCCCTCGAGCCCGTCCCTGCTGCCTCCCAGCAGCCACTGATGGATGCCGAGGGCAGCGCATGATTAATGCAGGCAGCAAGAGCAGCGCGGAGCCGAGCAGGCAAATGCGTTCCCCAGGCAGGACAGGCTGCAACAGCGAGACCAAGGAAACAGCTTAAATTAATCTCAGCTCAAGCACAGAGCCCGGCACCCAAGCCCACGGCTGGCGGTCGGATCCTCCCCGGCCCCGGGGGTGCTGCCCACCCGAGCCGGTGCCGAGCCCGTCACATCGCGGGGGAGGCTCCCCCGGCCGGGAGGACCCTGGCTTCCACTCACCTCCATAAATTATGCACGTCCCTGCCCGCCGCAGCCGCTTGAAGGCCCATCTCCAAAGCGATTCTGACAGCCAGGGCTTTTAAGGAACCAGAATTACCCGGTGCTTCCAAAGGCAGGAAGTTGGAATGCTGCAGCACATCGCCCGCCCCAGCCTGCTGGGAGAGCCCCTGGGAGCACAGCCCTTGTTCAGGTGGGGATCAGGGACAGGGATCAGCCCTCTGCACAGTCCTGTCCCCTCTGCAAGAACCACCCCATGCACCTCCGGCGGGCACGGAGCAGGGGAACGTGGCTCCTGGCACGGCCTGGAAGCGGGTCATGCTTTGCCCGTGCCAAGGAGGCACCAAGGGATGCTCAGACAGCACAGTCCTGTCCCCCCCAGCAGCCCTGCACCAGCCGAGAGCGGTCACTGCTCCCACCCTCATCCCTGGAGCTGCGACATTTCTGCCCATCAAAGCTGGGTTGGTCACAACACAGACCCATTCCCAGGAAAACCCTCATAGCCCATGGCAGCTCCCACGGAGCTGGCAGTGCCCCCAGAGCCCACTGCTTCTCCCTTTCTTCTTTCAAGCTTTTTCCTCTCTGTTCTCTCCCCTTTGTGGCTCCTTTGATCACATAATCTGAACGAACTGAAGGTAAAAATATCACGGCAGGCAAGAAGAAAGCGCCAATAATGGGGAGGGGAGGAGGGAGCTGGTTCAGATCCCTCACGGAATCATTAGGGGAGATGGAGTGTGAATCACCCGATGAGCCCGGGCTGCAAACGGCCCGGGAAGGGGGGGCAGATGAGCATCCCTGTCCTCTCCACCTGCCTCCCCCATCCCCACAGCCACACACGAGCCACTGCTCCTGCACAGCCCAGATCTTGCTCCCATCGTGCCTGAGCCTCCCCAAAGCAGGCCCTCCACCAGGAGGCTGGTGCTGCACATCTGGAGGAAGATGCACATCTGGAAGAAGACACCTGCCTACAGCAGGTGCTCGTGGAGCAGGGAACAGCCTTACCCATGTGCTCCAGGCAGTGAGGGGCCAGAGCTGCCCTTCTGCCCCACCTGCACAGCTCCACAGGGGCACCCCAAGGGCGGGAATAACGGGTGGGAATGGCCCGGTGTGGTGCTTCCCCCAGCCCCAAAGGAAGGAGCAGTGCTGCTTCCTCCTGCTTCCACCACACATCGGTGAGGAAGGAGCCTTCCCATCGCCCTTATCCCAGCCACACCACAGCCTGGTCCGGGTCTGGAACGCAGTGCAAGGACTTCTCAGACCAAACTGAGAGGACCTCCAGCCTCCAGGGCTGCGTCATCACCCGTCCAAGCCGGGGTGGGCTGAGGAGCACCAGGGCAGAGAGGCAGGTGCCGGGTGCTGGGGATGTTGCCACCCTGGGACAGGCAGAGATGGGGGGCATGGGCAGAGCCCTGCGGGTCCTGGCACCCCGGGACATAGGGCTGGTCAGCACGGTGGCATCCTGTCCCCCTCTAGTGGTGGCCAAGCCACTGGGCCACCGGCATCGCCAGACACAGGGGTCCCTGGAAAGGGCAGGGGAGGACTCAGCTGGGCAAGGGAGCCCCCGTTGGGGCAACTTGGTCTAGTGGAAAATGTCCCTGCCCATGGGGGCTGGAACTGGATGAATTTTAAGGTCCTTTCCAACCCAAATCATTCTGTGCTTCTATGAAATCAAACACTTTAAAAATTCCCCCACACCATGGAGAGCTCCTACTGCAAAACTACATCCAGTGCCCAAAAGAAGTACCAGCCATCTCAGGCATCACCTGTGCTGCTCCTTCCCACAGCTCCTCCTGCACGTCCCTGCAAGTGCTGCTCCAGCTGGGCTGCAGTGGGACACAGACCCCGCACCCAAGGACCGCAGAGCTCTGCCTGCAGCAGGACCCGTCACCTCCCAGTTCAGAGCCAGGACATTCTGGGGTTGTTAAACCAGGCAGAAGCTGAGCCAGTGACACGGCCCAGGAGATGCAGGAATGAGCAGCCAAGAGGCTGTGCCCAGCACTCGCCTGCACGTCCCCATCCCCAGCTGCTGAGGAGCCCAGTGCCACCAGCACAACACCACAGAGACCCCAGCCCGGCCCCACCACTGGGAGGGCTGTGCCAGCTTAAGCCACACTGGCTTCCACCAGCTCAACAGCATCTTTTTCAAAAATCAGGCCATTTCTCTCCCCACCTGCACTTCCCCAGCAAGCAGGGCCAGCCAGCAGGCAGCACAATATCCCAATTAGCACACACTCGCTCTTCCTGTTTGCAGGCGGTTACAGGGAACTTAGTTTGGCTCCTGCTCTTTTTAATTGCAAAAGCTCCATGAAGTACAGTGCAATTGAGACACAGAGGGAGGGAGGGGATGGCAGTTAAGTTCTCTCTCAACAGGCAAAACCTTAAGTATTCAGGTCCAGCACCCCAGCGTTCGCTCAGAGAAGCAAGGCCACGGCTCAGCAGGCAGTGGCGAGCAGAGACCCCAGGTTGTACCACCCAAACCCACCCAAGGAGCTCCAAAACGCAGTCCCTGCCCCAGCAACCTCTCGATCGATGCACAAACAGACACCATGACACTCGCACGAGCCCAAGCCCATTGCCAAGGTTGCCTTTCTGCAACCAGGTCCTGTCAGTGCCCAGCTCAGAGCCCCATGGGGGGGAAAGCTGGGTATGACCACCCACCTCACTGCCCTGGAGCATCCCCTGAAGGGTGCTGAAGTCCAAACAAAAGTGGTCCCATGGGGCGCGGATGAGACCCAGGGAATATTTATCACACCATATATATCCTTAGCTGCAGTGAGCCCTCTCCTTCCGCCTCCCTCCCGCCAAGCAGGTCAGGGCTAATCCCTCACTCTGAAGGATGGGATGGCGCGGCGGGGGAAGGCGAGAGCGGGACACGGCCATGGAACGAGCAGAGATAACACAGCTCACCTTGCGGGGCAGCACAGGGTCTCCGCCGGCAGCAGAGAGCTCCAGCAGGAGAGGCTGGAGGGAGGGAAGATGCTGCTCATCCCCACTCCTGCCACGTGCAGCAAAATCCCGCAATTAATTTTTTATCATCGTCTGCAGTTTGGGATGGCGCTGGCTTGGAGCGGGAGCGCGGCCTGACTGCCGGTGCCCGGCAGTGCCCGTGTCACCACACAGCGTTCCCGCTCCCCATCACGCACCCGCACCCCAAGACCACGGCCTGGCAGTGCCAGCCCCTGCCCGCACCCCCAGCTGCAGCAGAGCCCCCCGTCCTGAGCCAGGCTTTGAGCGGGGCCGTCCGGGGAACTGCAGAGCAAAGCCCTCCATGAGGAGCCGGGAGGAAGAGCCGGTGCCCGCGGCGGGCGCGGAGCCGGGGAGGGCGGCGGGCGCGGGTTCGCGATGTTATAATTAGGACCTGCCACTTCTTCAAGCCGTTGCCTTTCTGGGAAGAGCTGGAAGGGGGTGGCTGAGCTGACAAATCCATCCTCCTCCTGCCTGATGCCAAAGTTGAAGCACGTGATGCTCTCTTTCGGGGAGCCATCGGGCTCCCCTGCAGGGCGATGCTGCCCCCGGGACGCGGGGCCGGGCCACGGCTGCACCCGAGCTTCGGTTCCCATGGGAGGATCCTCTCGGCGCTGCTGTGGGATGCAGCTCAGCACCCCCAGCCCAGTGCCTGATGCCCTCCCCAAAAGGGCTTTGCCTGTATCCCCAGCCCGGGGCAGCCACAGCCAATGCTGCCCATGGGGTCCCTCCACCCTCGCAGTAAAGGACCACCCTCACTGCAGCCCCCAGCACTGCCCCTCCAGCTCGGCCAGGCTGGCCAAAATCAGCTGGGATCTCTGCATATCCCATCGGACCGTGGCTCCCAGCACGGAGGCAGCAGGTCACAGGGAAGAAGGTCTTGCCCCAGCTCTCCCCCCACCACAGCCTTGCCCAGCACGTCCCCTGCACCCCCCATCCGCTGCCCTGATGCAGATAAATGCTGCTTACAGGGAGCGAAGGGAGAGAAGGAAATGAGCTTTTTCTTTTGGCAGTTCTCGTGGCGTTCTCCCGAGCTCCTCGCTGCATTCAACAGATCAGCTCCGCTCCTTCCCTTCATCCCTCCCTCCCTCCCTCCCCAGGCCCTGCCCGGGGCACGCGGCCGGTGCCGGTGGGTTCCCCCGGTCACCGCAGCCCTGCCTCGTGCCACCCCCGGCGAGCCCCGAGCCACAGGTCACCTGCAGCGCGATGGCGATGGCAAAGGCAGTGACTCACCCGCAGCCTCTCTCTCCGTCGCAGCCGCCGCCGAAGGCAGCGGGCATCCCCCAGCGCGGGAGCAGCCCCCGGAAAATCACCCGGCTGGCAGAGCACGGCAAGCTCATTACACCAGGGGGAGGAGGAGGAGGAGGAGGAGGGTGGCGGGGCTGCACCCGGGCAGGCGGTGGGAGAGTTCTCCGTTTTTTTCCCACGGCTGCCAACTTCCCCAGCGGCTCCCGACGCCTCAGATCCGCTCGCCCGGAAAGCGCCAAGGAGCGGGAGAGCACTCGGGAGAGGAAACGAGCCCGTGCTGGAGCGGGGCTCTGCCCGGCCCGGGGGTGCCTCCGCGGGGTCGGGTCTTACCCCCCACAGCCCCTCCAAGCTGGAAGGGGCAGCGCCTTCAGCCCCTTCCTCGCTCCGCTGCCGCCCCTGCCCTGCCCTGCGGCGGCTCTGCGGGCGCTGCCCGCTGCGGCGAGGCGAGGGCAGCCCCCGCCGGCGGCTCGGCCCTGGCCACGGCCACCCCCGCGCCCGCTGCCTCCTGCCCCAAGCCCTTCCAGCCCCCTCCGTCCAGATGAGCCCCCCAGCTCCCCTCCCGGAGCCCCCGCCGGGCGGTGGGCACCTCAGGGGACAAAGGTGGCAGGTTGGGGAACGGGGCAGGAGGTGCCCCCCGTTCCCCTCGCGGCGGGGGCAGCGGGGCGAGAGGGGGGGCAGCGCTCCTCAACCCCCAACGATGAATAAATAATGCGATGAGTGGGAAAGGGGAGAGCCGGGGGAGGGCTGGGGATTCCGGGCTACAGCCCCCCCTGTCGCAGCCCCCCCAAAACCAAAAATAAGAAGGAAAGGTGGAAAATTTGCCGGAGCGTGGCGGGGGGAGGGGGGGGGCGGCGAGGCTGCGGGGAGGGGGAGCGGGGGGCACTCCAGCCCCTGGCGAAAGTCCGGGGGCACCGAGCGCCCCGGGGATGCTCCCCCCGCGCCGCCCGCACTTACCCGCGGGCAGCGCCAAGTTGGCGGCGCCGCCGGCCCCGTCTCCGCCCGGTGCCCGGTGCCGCGATCCGCCCCCGGCCCGGGGGGCGCGGGCAGCCCGGGGGGGCCCTGCAGCGTGTGGCGGGGGTGGCCCCGGCCCCCCCAGCCCCGGCCCGGCCCGGGAGCCGAGCGAGCCGCAGCCGGGCGGGACCCGCCGCGCTCCGCGCACCGCAGCCGCGGCGAGGAGGAGGAGGAGGAGGAGAAGGTGGAGAAGGGGGAGGAGGAGGGGGAAGAGGAGGAGGAGAGCCGAGGCCGGGGAAGTTTTGCATGAAGAGGAGCTGGGAAGCCCGCCGCCGGCTTTGCCAGCCTCTTAAAGCACTAGCGCAGCGCGGGGACCCCCGCCCCGGTGGTCCCCCGGCTCCCGGAGGAAGGGTTCCCTCGCCAGGCTGCTGAGGGTCTCCGGCTCCCTGCACTGACAGCCAAGCCCCAAATTCCCTTCGCAGGTGGGAGCAGCTGCCCTAGGCAGCGATGCGGGAGAATGTTTGTCCCCCCAAGCCGATGCCCTTCTCTTCGCCCTCCCGGCGATGCCAACCTCCCGGCCCGCACACATGCCCGCGGAGCTCGGCTCTTGCATCGCCTTCTCTCCCCATCGAATCCCCTCCCAAGCCCCCGCGGCTCTGAGGAGCTTGTCGTGCTGTGTCGATTCATTAATCCAGAGAAAACACAACCCCCCGGTAATGACCATTGACACGTTAACTGCTGCGATCCATCACGGCCACGACACGGTGCTGATTGCTCGGTCACCGGAGCAATTAGGGCACACCCGGCGCTCACCTGCCGGCACTCGGGGCTGAGAGCTCTCAGCCCCTGCGGGGACCCTTCCCTGCACACAAAGCGGGGTCTGGCTGCGGGGAGGCCTTTCTGCCGCTCCACCTGCCCCTTCCAGCACCAAAGATCAAAGCACGGACCTTCCAACACACAATTCCAGCCTCATCTTCCCTAAGGGGTGACTTGTGTTGCTTGTTTGTAATAGAGGGGTCAGCCAGGGCCCAGGCAGGCAGGGTGCCCCTGCAAAGGGCTCCTTTTTGCCCAGATCCTGGTTAGGAGTCCAGAGAGGAGCCAGTTTTCCAAAAGCACTCGAGATTGCCCAGCTCCAGCACAACGCCCTGTCTGGGCCTGTGAAGGAGCTTTGGGCTCTCCAGTGAGATACATCTTCTAAAAAGCTGCCCAGCCACCCTCCTGCCATCAAAATAAATGCAACATTCCCATGGATTCAGGTGCTCACGGGATGATGCCCAAGCGCTGTCTCCTGCAGAGCGACCAGGCTGTCACAGTGATTTTGTTTACACCAAGAACCCGTGGTGCTTGTTGTTATTCTGCTCTGGGGCAGGGGAGGGCAGCTGGGGGGGGCCAGCCCCATCCAGCCCCACGTGTGTGCAGCCCAGGGGTTACAGCCCCATCCAGCCCCACGTGTGTGCATCCCTCAGCCATGCCAGCGCCGATGCCAGGAACTGAAGCTAAAGGACCTCTGCACGGTGGCCAACAGGGAGGGAACACAAACACCAAGCCCCTGGGAGGAGAGGAACCCCTGCCTGCCCCAAGCCAGGGCTGAGGGGACTCCAGATACCTCGGGATAAGCCAAGCTCAAATCCCTTGGCCAAAAGTAGCTCTCAGAAGCACCCTGAGGTCAAGCTCCCTGCTGCGAGTCGGGTGAAGCCCTCAGCTCCCAGGGATTTCTAAAACACGTGCTTGCCTTCAAGGAGAAACAAGGGTGTTCCACTCACAGCCCGGGGTCTTGCAGCACCTGGCCACGAGGACACCAGCCCACCCTGCACTGCTCTGCTCAGATCCCAAAGAATCCCTGGGGGAAGGTCTCTGGGACAAATTATGGAGAATTTGGGCTGAATTATCAACTGAGCTGCCCTGGCTCACTGCTGCCCTGGCTCTGATGAAAAATCCTCATCCCCAAAGTCTTGGGGACCTGAGTCCCAGGGGTTGGGGATGCTCTTGCTGGCAGTGTTTCTCTTGTTTTCTCCAAGCCTCATGGACTGCACGTCTCCCCTTCTCACACCCCTCTCCCAGCCGTCAGCAAGAACCCAAAATACCATCACAGTGCTCGTGTCACCATCGAGAACATCAAAACCCAATTAACATTTGGAAACCTGGCTCAGGCTGAACTTCCCCTGGCACACGGGGAAAGGCCACGATGTGGGGGCTGAGGGGGCTCTGGGAGGCTGCAGGGAGGGATGGGAGATACCCCAGGGACTCCAGGGGCACAGCCCCTGCATGGGGTGACCCTAAGGGTGGCTGTGCAGACCCAGCAAAGGTCTCTGTGCCGATGGCTGGGGCTTCTGCTCAGAGCACAGACAAAGCTGATCAAACCCTCCAGGAGAGCTCGATGCCGTCAGCAAATGGACACGGATCTGTCCGCCAGGATCGATATCACCCTGGCAGGCACAAAGCAGGAGGAACTGAGCCAGTGGCTGCCTCCCCTGTCCTGGGGGCAGGGTTGGGGTACACCCCCAGCCGATTCCCAGCTCCGTGTTCACGTCTGTCCAGGGGCTGCAGGGTGCTCCAGCACCTCCAGGGTGCAGCCCTTCCCTGAACTCCAGGGCTCGCAGAACCCCTGCAGGAGCTCTGGGTGCCCTGACCCCCCTCAGCCCGTGGCTGTCCCCCAGGCAGGCACAGCTCTGGCCACGCAGCCTCCGGCCTCCCCCTGCCCTGGCCCCTGGCCAGCCGGGAAGGTCACTGTGTCCACTGCTGAGGCCACCAAGCGCCATCAGGGAGACACATTGCTTGCAATTTTTTTTTGTTTTTAATATAGGAAAACATGAAACCTCATCTTATGGACTGGACTTTCTGGCTCAGCTCTGCAAGAGGGCTTTGAATAATTTATGCCCGAGCCACCACCTCCTCCTTCCTCCTCATGGGTCACTCTTGTCAAAGAGATGGAGGCTCAGGAATCACACATGGTCCTTTTCAACTGGGAGCTGCATTGCCAGTGCCTGCAATTGCCTTGGGTGTGGATTTAATTCCCTCCTGATTAGAAGGGTGCGGAAAATAAATCTTTAATTCAAAGTGAAATATTAATAGAACTGTAATTAGCTGTAATATCTACACAATTAAAAAGCAGGAGGCCCAGCAAGAGCTATTTTCATGTGTATTTAAAGAAAAATACGTTTTCAGGGTAAGGGGGGGGAGAAGCTGGGGATGTTTTTCCCGTGTCCCACTTGTCTGAGGGAGAAATGTGGCCAGGAGGAGCAGCAGCACAGGGACAGGGGTCCTGCCAGTGTCAGTGATGCAGGAGGAAGAAAAGGGACAGGTTGGAAGAAAAGAAAAGAGTAGAAGAAGGATTTAAGGGGAAGAAGACACTTTTGTCCTGTTCCTTGGGGATTTTGCAGCAAAGGGAAGGTTTTCACTGACGTCAGGCAGAGACGAGCTGCAGCAAGAGGATGGGGATGGGAAAAGTCTCAGTGGAAGTTGGCAGGGTGTTCTAGGCTGGGCATGAGTGGGTGACCCTGGCTCAGCCCCCACAGACATTTTTCAGCAGGAATTGCTTGAGCTGCTTACAAAAAGCTATCGAGTCACCCTGTGTTGGGACAGTTACTGAAGGGATAAACAGAACTGCAGAACAAAACCAACAAAACAATGCAGCTTGTCCCTC